GTAAGTAGTAAGTAGTAGTAGTAGTAGTAGAGAGTAGAGAGAGAGAGAGAGAGAGAGAGAGAGAGAGAGAGAGAGAGAGAGAGCTACAATTTTCGCTTCTTGATACCCTTTTGGGTGGTTTTGAGCTTTTGTGCCACCATTGAAGACGATGGAGACCCACCTTGTGCAGGGGTAGGAGGGACTGGCTGGACTGACACTCATAGGGGGATTTGGTTGTCAATCATCAAGCTCTCTCTAAGTAGTTACCAGCCTGATAGATCTTTGAGGTGGAAGGACCATGGGACAAGCATCATCAACAACATCAAGGCGTGCATCTATCTGCTCCAAGGCCTCTTCATCCTCTAGTTGGTCGTCTTCTGGATGAGCATAACAATTCTTGTATTTGACTTCATAGTTTGACCACATTCTACTCAACAACATATCATTGTAATGGATAAATACCAATCACTCTAATCTATTTGCATTAAGCCGATTTTGTTTGACACTATTGATATAGTTGTATATACTCCAGTATATCTCTGCACAAAGAATTGACTCTCTCTGGCGACATCTTTACTGCAATTGAATATAATTTTGGAGTTCCATTGCCATACAAGTCTCACCACGCTACAGTGGGAACGATGCCTTGATCAACTATGGATGCTATGAGGGAAAAAGATCCCTCTATTACCAACGAATTACTAATTTTCTATTGTACTCTATCCAGTTCTTCCTCATCCGGGATCAATACATCGAGAGCAGCATGGTAGCCAGTAGACACTTTTGGATCTTGATGGGCTTCACCACCTTGTCCTCCCATGGGGTAGGCGTAGATAACCCCTCAAGATAGTACTACTTAGGACTGAGAAGGAATCCAAACAACGAAAAGGAAGATTAGACCAGTACCACCGTTTCATCACTATCTCTAGAGCAGTATAGGATCATCATAAAGGACAACTGAGATTTCCCCTGGTCTTGTATCTATGCTATGCATCACGCACAACAGCTATGTTGCTGTTTGCAATTATTAATTGGTCTTGTAAACCGCTATATCATTTTATTCATTTTCTAAAAATCCTCGATCATGATTATAGTGTGAACCTTCGATGTTCAATGTCTGTTGCACCTCGTCTAGGACTCTCCCACATATTGGCCAACACTATGTCATAGTGTGAACCTTCGATTATAGTTGATGGAAGGATTTCATTGTGACCCTCACTTCCATCAACTGCCTCAACATTATGTAGTGGTATCCAAACATATTTTTTTTGCCTTTAAGAAGTTAATATTCGGATAAGTCCTGAAAATTTATAGACATTTAGTGTGATTTTGGATGTACATCACCACCTTTTTACCCCTACTTGCAGTGGTTTCCAACAAAAGCGACAGATGGATTCTTCTTTTACTTATCATCAATATCTTTTATGAGAATGCTCAATGTAAAAAACATGAGGATGTTGCCATTGAATTATGGTCCTAGTACCTTTGCAATTCGAGGTCATTATCTGTGAAAACTTGGGTCACATTGTACAGTCCTATAGTATTGATGGCCTTAAAAAGGGTGTCCCTACTAAATTGGCTAGTATGCTCAATTGAAAAGCAGTTAAGGCCATTCACAAACATAGCCTTCTCACTTGACAAGGCCATGATATTGATCATAAATTCAATATCAATGTTATTGCAATCATCCGAAACGACTGACACTCCATAAGGTGTCCAGTCATTCCTTATTGGGCCCAATGCATGATCAATCCTACTTCTCCTTTATTAAGCAAAGTTGTCCTAAGCTTTTTCATATAAGGATGCCATGTTTCAGTTGGGAACATCGTTGATGGCATGTACCATTTCATGGAACCTAGGGCCCTCGCAATACCGAACAAGATGGCATTGGGCATAAAAAAAATTGCTCAACTGTAGCATCCACATCATCTCTTGCTTGTACATTTGACTTGAATTTTACCTTTCCCTTTTTTGTAAGTACTAGTTGATTGCATTAGAGAAGGGAGAAATGATGGAACTCATTGCCTCCTTTTGCGTCTTACTCCCATATAATCTTTAAGCTTCATCCTTCTCAAGCAAACTCTCTTGCTTATCCTTAGATATTTTGGAACAACATGAGATTCCTTTAGGTCCATGCCCATGGGATTGGTGGGCAAGCACATGAGTGCAAGACCCTACAAAAGGTGTGTGTCTACAATTAAAATTACATATCCACTTCTTTGTACCCCTAGTTCCCTTTGTAGAACTATGCACTACAATTACATATTTGGTGGGTTCTTCAACCTCATTTTCTGAGACCTCAGCTGGGTTATTGCCGCAAAAAATATCAACATTAATTTCTTCAACCACCATAGCTCTTTCAATGTCGAGAGTGCATAAAATTTGTCAATCTAATGTGTATAGAATATTTTAATGTTACATAGTGATCACAAAATATGGCAATTTGATAAGAGTGCTGAAGACTAATAGATCAGAATATTAACATTTGCTAAGTAAAAATTTGTACGAAATTCATCTCCCCCTCTGGCCTGCACTGCCTACCCACCTATCTCAACCTCAACCTCACCTCCAAACCCCGAGCCCTTACCATTCCTCCCATCAAAACGTCCTCCCATAAAACCTAAATATTTTATCTTTAGCCTCTCCAATCCAACTCCCGCCCATCACCTCTCTCCCATACGTCCCCCATTAAATCTCTTTATTGTATCTTTAACCTCCCCAATCCAACTCCCACCCATCACATCTCTCACATCGTGTACTCCATCCATGATTCTGTTGTCAGTACTCTCTCTCTCTCTCTCTCTCTCTTGTCCTCCTCCTCCTCCTTCCTCTTCCTCACTCACCACACTTCCCAATCCTGACCCCAAGCTCATCACCTTCTCCTCAATGAAAACCCTACATTGTCCGTCTTTCTCTCTTGTTGTTCCCATTCAAATACTCCATCTCTTGCAGCCAAGAAATACTAAAAATGTTTGACCTCATGCATTATGGGGAGAAATTCCCTGGAATCGTAGGGCTTTACCATCAGCTAAGGGAAGTTAATGTTGAAACAACGAAAACTTGAGGGTGAGTTCTTTCTAACCTAGGGATTATGAAACAAATCACTTAAGAGATGTTCAAGAGTTTGCTCTTATTAATATTTTTATATATTTAAATGGGGAATTTGGACTTATTTATTTATTTTATTAGAGTTAATGTTTTGGAGTTGCAGCGTGAAGTTAATGAGAAATATGATTATTATTATAGGCAGGGAGTTGCAAGTTTCCAATTCTCTTAGGATTAGCATGAGATTTTCTGAAGATTTACTTAGATCAGTTAGTTTCCTTTTTCCATATAGGTTGTATGATTATAGGGAAGAGAAAGAAGTGCTAAAAGAAAATTGGATTATGAGAAATATGAGGGGGATAGATGAAGCCTATCATGGAAGCTTTCCAGGATTCTTAGGACTTCCTAAGGGCTCATTTGGAATCCCATTAGAATAGGAATAGAGGTAAAAGAAAGTACGAGGTGCATGGGAGAGATAGGTGGAAGTTATCTTTGGACTTTTATTCTTTTAATTTTATTTTACTTTTTTATTTAGATTGGCTTATATTTTTTTTTAATTTTTTTCCCGTAATTCAGTGGTGAAGAGAGGCCCCTTACCCATTTCTTTAAATAGTTTAGGAGTTAGTTTTTTTAATGTGTTAGTGGGGTGGTATCAGTAGCAATGGAAACCGCAACACAGTGACTAGGGTGTGGGGGTGCTACCACCATGACCCCAACCCCAACCCCTTTCCCCGATTGGCTTGTATTAAGAGAAGGGAAGGTGGACTTTTGATTTTGTAAGAGCTTTCTTTTTTTTAAATAAATAATTTAAAATGAAAGGGAGAGTGCTTTCGGTACATTGAGAGATTCCTCTATTATACTTGACTTATCGTTGCTTGTTGTTCTCCTTGTGTTGCTGAATTTCGCGTGTTCAAGTATCAAGGAGAGGGTGGATTTAACTTCGGACCATCCTTTCACATCACTTTTCATCTTATTTGAAAGAAATAAGAGCTTAGCTACACCTGAACTAGTGTATCAAAAACTTAATATCTTAGCTTGGTTGATAATTCCATCTGCCTCTTTGAAAGTCAAGGATTTATTTAACACTTACAGTGTACTTATTTTTCTGATGGGCTTATAGTTAGTTTAGGAAGCTTCCAGAATGTTTTCTCGCAAATTATGACTGAGAGACATTTGGCAGTTAAGGCTATTGGTCTGCCAACACCCAATCTCATACCAGCCACAATATAAATGCCGCTAGTAAGCGATGTCCTGAGAAGTGTTCCTCACCTCTTTTTTTCATTTTTTTTCCGGCCCCTATATGGAGCACAGTTGTTCACTGCCACTAACCTATTTTCATCCTTAACCAGTACTGATTGCAAATGAAGCCATAGAGTTTGATGGAATTTGTGAGTTCTAGCATTGGTGATTTCAGGGTTGATATTATCTCAACAATCTAATTTGAATCGTATAATGATTCATCTCATTTGTGTGTGCTTTGTAAGGCATGCAAGTTTGTGTGACGGTCTGAACTAGGTAACAATGGTACAAAAGCTCCAGATCACTAGGACTGCACAGATCTGAAAAAGAATATTCAGTTAAGGGAAACTTCATATCCTGTTTGTATTGGGTGATTTATTTATTTGATTTGCCCCCCCCGATAGGTTGGTATTTTTGAATTTGCTCCTCCAAGAACTGGAGATTGAATAACACAAAGATGGAATAACATGTGATCATCTAAGTTTAAGATGCATTCGTCTTCCTGTCAACCACATACTTACCCTTATTTATGAACATTGTAAATTTGCGTAAAGGCATACTCCTCACTATTTAGGTTACGTTTAAGGCTTTTTAATACATTATGTATGTTATGTATGTATGGACCATTTTCTTTCTTTTCTTCTTGATCAATATATGCACCATCTGTTCCATGGCAGGGAAGAACCAACTGAGCCATTCTACTATTTGCAGCTTGATCCCCCTAAGAGAGAAGAGCCAAAGCTTGAGTGAAGGAGATTGGTAAGATATTTGCTGTAAACTGCCCTTTTTTTTCAATGTGCTGTAAACTGCTTTTTTCACTGATTAAATTTCTTCGTTTTCCACTGAGGCTCATGCTTTTCAGTTGTCTTTCTCTGTTCTGTCATGACCAATGTTGCTTATTCTTGCAATATGCTCAAATGTGAAGATTAGATCAAAATATTGCATAGGGCATATAGTATATTATGCTCAAATTT